CTTTTTAGCCTCCGGCGAAACCTAGAGTCTATACGGCTTCGCCGCACGACTAAAAAGGATAGTCTTGCTCCCAAAAATTTTGAGAAAATTCTCTCTTTTAGATTTCACTTTCATAGGGACAAAATGTAATAATAGTGTCGATTCCAAAAAAATTCATGTTTACTCCCTCTAAATTCAAAATCCTCGGTCTCTTTCAAATTCACTAATGCAATCATCTTTCTCCATTACCTTGAGCCTTTGAAGTCTTCGTCTGATGCACGGTCATCTTCCCCGCTACTTAAATCCAAATTATTGAGGGCACGTTTGTGTTTCTTCCCTTTTTTATCCCTCCTCACCACAACCGGGGGAATGGCACCTTCTTCCTCCTCATCATCATTTTCTTCATCTTCGTCGCCCTCCTCTCCTTCCGCAGTATTTTCTGCATCAGGTTCTTCTTCATTGGTTTTGCTGCCCTAAAGTGATAAAAATTAAATTTCAAAGTCATTAGGTGTACACAGAATGCGGACACTAATAAATATAACAGGTGGCTCATGACTTAGAAAATGCTGCTTAGTGAGGAGCCTTTGACACATTCCTTGTAGACAGGTATTTACATTGGGGTCCCATATAAATTCACATCAGAACAAAAATTAATGCAAAAACGCAGCAAAATGCTACAAATTTGGACTCATAACTAGATAGCCAAGACACCGTAGCTACATTAAAATTGCATCCAAAATGCACATTTTATGATTAGTTCTGTAATAGACTTTCGGATGTCATTTTTGCTGCTTGACAGTATAATGAAAAGGAATGGCAGAAAAGGTCATTCACTATGACAATTTAAGCCTGTAGTGAACGAAAGAAAAATCAGTAACTATCACTGACTCGGGAGGGAAAAAGATAAATTGTAGACGAAGTAGTGAACTGAAGAATGTACCTGAACAGATTCTTCTCCTGCAGTTGCAGCAACAGCCTTCTCTGCACCAGGTATAGGTTCAATGCCGTCCTGGAAGAATAAATTGGTATCACATCAAAGTTAAGGTAATAAGGAAAAGGAAAAATAATGATAAGTTAAAAATAATGATTGTTTGGATCTTGTCCCAGCTGCTAATTAATTTTTCTCTTAAAAAGCTCTGAGCATAGGTCACTGATAAGAGGGGGGGGGGAAGATTTACGTACAATTCCAACTAAGAAATTAGAACGGTCATCATAAAGCGCAAAATAAGTGCAATGTTAAACTCAATAAATTAAGTCAGTGAAATGACGACAGTCCGCCAGGATTAGTTATCCGCTTAGCAATGACTTAGACTTGTTAGTAAAGAAAGTAATTCAGCAACTCAGCAGGCCTCAGGCTCTTGCTGTGTCACTGACCAATTTCGTTGTCATGATGGCAACTTTTGTTTACAAATGACGGGTCATTGGATAACTTCAACGAAAGATTAATAACACTTTGGCTGAGCTCAGCGGTAAATCGGATAACTCAACGTTTGCAATGTAGTTTTAACAACTCATTTGATTTTGCAGGGTACTTTCTAGGACACTTGCGAGGTATGATGCCATTCTGATTGATCAATGAATTGACCAATCAAAAACATCATTGAAACAAGCAGTGAACTCCAACACAATGTGTTGATAAGGCGCGTCATTAACTCGCAC